CCCCCCCCCCAAAGTAGCACAACTTATTTTGAATAATATCATAGTCACTTGCTTTTTTTTTTTGTCATCAAAGTGGGGGGGAAAAAATTGCCTCAATTTGGAAATATGCTATATCTGGAAAAGATTTTATTTGAAGGCCAGTATCACCCAACAGTATGTTGCTTGTACATTGTAGGAATATATCAAGAGTTAATCGTCGCTGTCGCTGAAGTGACCAAAATAGTGAAGCATCTCATCTCAATCTGGCTGAAAAATGAAGAAAGGGACCTCTTGCACTTGTGGACCCTACCAAACCGTTAAGGTCAGAATTTTCATGTCACCCTGAACTTTGAACTTCCCCTACCAATAGCTGCCGATCGTGATGCAATCATGATGTCATCAGTGAGCAGATCAAAAACCAATGACACCGCGGAGGTCGTCCTAATGGCGTCCATGGAGAATAAATCAGCTGTCAGCTTTTTTTGATCAAACGTTTGATTAAAGACGTTGGTCACCAGGGCAGCGGGGGGGCTTGAAGGACGACACGCCACCCTGCTTGTAAAATGCTGATGACGGCGCTGAGATGGTGATGAGCCAGAAACCAGCGTGTGTTTTATATACAGAGAACTCTCACTGTTGTCATCAGTGACCGACCCCTGAAAAAAGAAATCATGAATAATGGATAGGGCCTACCGCTAATAGTTTTCTAGATTTCTTTTATTCCTTTAGAGCACGGGTGTCAAACTCGAGGCCCCGGGGGCCAGATGTGGCCCGCCACATCATTTTACGTGGCCCGCGAAAGAAAATCAAAACATGTCAATCAAAAAGAAACATCACGCAAAATCGAAGGATGTAAGTCAAAACACACTATTAGAAAGAAATAAGACGCGTGAAAAAAAAGATGATAACTATTTATGACTCATCACCAGCACCTTGACGGAAAAAATGTTTTCTTTGATAATAACAGTGGGAAATTCTCATTCAAGAGTTTTTTTTCAATTTTTGTCTTTTCTAAATCATTAGGTGATTTTGGTATCCCGATCCAGAAATCTTGTTTTTTTGGGGGGGTTTCCCCCAAATTCATAAAATGGGACCTGAAAGCATTTTCATGTATATTTTATTCAGTCATGAAAATGTTAATATTATATCATGTTATTTCATTTGTTTTCATTGCATATAATATCTTTGGCGTGTACCTTTTCTTGCTGTCGGGCGAGCTGCCGCGGCGGCGGCGGTCATCTTTCGATGGATGTATGGCAGCTTTTGTCACCTTGATTTCACCTTGAGCCTTTAAAAGTAACCATACATCACTTTAACTTGGTTAGAATTATCTGCGAAAAGCAATGTGTCAGCGGAGTAATTCATAATTGGTGTCACACTGACACCAATTAGTGGCACTTAAATTGAGAGTCACTCCAACATACGCTATTGCCTCCTGAAATTGGCATGCACGTACCCGGGGCATGTGGAGCAGCAGGTGCCCCGTGGTCTGCGACCGCTGTGCCGTCGAGCTGTCGGGCTTGACCTCAGCCGGCAGAACCAGCTGAAATATCTGCGCATTTATTATTTGAGCGTTCATAACAAGCAGTTTCATCATGACTGGACATTTTTTATGACACACATTCTACAAGTTCTCGGAGGGAGCCGACCAGTAGCTAGCGCACTGTAAGGTTCAAGGAAACCGCGTTCAACTTGTCACCTGATGAAATGGCCCAAACTCGCCAGGCCACCTGGCTGACCCCCACCGTAAAAACAAGCCCCCCCCC